CTAATTAGTGGTGCTTAAGACAATTAATATTGCTCCTATTTATAAGTAGAGGTATGAGCAAACTAAGAACTACACTTTTTGTGCTACGAACATACTTTTTAGTAAGGACCACCTAACAACCACTTTAGCTTAGCAATGTTGTAACAACCACCCAGAGCATCTTAGTGTAACCCCTCGAGCGGGACTCGAACCGGCGTCTCCGGCATGGGAGGCAGGCACGCTAACAACAACGCAGTTTCTAGTGTCAGTCACTAGAGCGTCTTTTGAGATCAGGGGAGTGAGGTTAGTAATCCAAAAATTATACTTTACCATTCAGAAGTTTGGGGTCTGTAAGATTTTTTAAAGTCCGCCTTTAGTCAATAAATGTATCCCTTAAAAGACATCTTTGATTACCAAAATTACATATTTAAAAGTTTTTTCCTTGAAAAAAATGTCTTCATGTCTTAAAATAGCTTGAATGTAACTCGACACCCTTGCCTCATTTAGTATACACGATTCTATGAATATGCAAATGAGCCCCGCCTCCACTCACTCACAGCAGCTCAGAGATCCACTCGTTGATGATCACACGTTGATCTGATTGGTTACATGGTAGTTTGTGACGTCAGAAACACCAGCAATTTCAAACCGTGTTTTTGAGACTGTCTTTGGTTCACTGCAGTTTTAAGGAGAAAATACTCATTAATCGTGTTGACTTATGAATTTGTACATGGTTTGTCTTAAATCATATTAAAAACACCACATAGACATATAAACTACATTAAAAGCTTGATTTTCATCACAGGGGGGCTTTAAAGAAGTCTCTTATGCTCACCAAGACTGCATTTTATTTCACAAAAAGTGCAGTAAAAACAGTAATATTGTGAAATATTATTACAATTTTAAATAACTGTTTTCCATTTGAATATATTATAAAATGTCATTTGTTCCTGTGATCAAAGCTGAATTTTCAGCATCATCACTCCAGTCTTCAGTGTCACATGATCCTTCAGAAATCATTCTAATATGCTGATTTGCTGCTCAATAAACATTTCTCATTATTATCAATGTTGAAAACAGTTGTGCAGCTTAATGTTTTTGTGGAAACCGTAATGCTTTTTTTTTCTTTCTTTTTTTTTTGTTAAATAGAACATTCAAAAGAACAGCATTTATTTGAAATAGAAATAATTTGTAACATTACAGTCTCATATAAGTGTACATCATTTTAAAACACATTTGTCAAAATTACACTCAATCTTACACTTTAAAGTGCTTTTAAAAAATCAGAAAAATGTAAATGTATGCTTCTATTTGTCTTACAACCAAAATAATGGCTCCTGACTTCCTAAAGAAAGACACTTTTAAAAGTTTTTTTTAAAGAGTCCTAATGGCTCTTCCAAGAAGCACATCACTTCTGATCTGTCCACACACGTGTAACACACACAGAAAGCACCTGCTCAATCCCTGATGCATTCTTCTATAGCTGCGTTCTTCATAAACCTCCAACAACATTAATCAGTTTCAGCATTACCGGAGACGTTTTAATGTTTTTCCCTGGTTTCCGCTTCCGAGGAAGCAAACGGTCTCTGAGTGCTTAAATATTAAGATTTAATTAGTAAGAACCTCGCCTTCTTTGTCACTACAGTAGTTATATAGTTACAGTAATGTGTTATGATAAATAAAGTCCCGCTTTTGCAACATTATACTCAAAATGTGTCCAGACTTGAGATTAAAAAGATTATATATGATATTTTTTTACATTCATTAAGGGGATCAAGAGCGTCTGGTTTGCTGACTTTACATTAATGCTCATGTTCAACATCAGAGAACATCTGTGTCCTTTCAGCAATATTGACCTCTGACATTTTCAACTCCTGTGATGTTCTCTGAAATATCATCCTCATTGATGAATAAACCATCAGAATTGTCAATAACGTCTTCGGTAGGTGGTTTATAATTATGAAGACTTGACTAACTCATTTTTTTAAGTCAGTTTAATGTAATTTAAGTTGAAATGACTTAAACAACCAAGTTGATTGTACTTGTACAAAAAAAACCTTCAAATAAGTGGCCACATTATGAAATGTTGGATTGAACAAGAGTCAGGATATGAAAAATGATCCTATTTATTTGTTACACCTCATGTTCTGTGATTAGCTAAGTAAATGTAAGTATTGTTGTAATAGCTACCTCAATCTATTAAAAAATTATTATTTTACCCCCATATTTGTGTGTTTTGTATTTTTCACATAAAAGAATTTGTGCTGTCAAATCGATTAGTAGCATCTAACATAAAAGTTTGTTTATATAATATGTGTGTGTGTGTGTGTGTGTGTATGTATATATATATATATATATATATAACTTTTATGTAAGATGTTATTAATCGATTTGACAGCACTAAAAAAATGTATTTGTTAAATCATTCATGGTTTGTACAGGTCACAATCACTGGGTTACTTGTTTAAATTGGTTCTCTTTTCTGTTTATGTTTCTTGAGCTCAAGGTTAGTGTATTTACTAGAGCTACACTTCTTTTAAAGGTGAAACTGAACAGACATTAAACAGAGGCAGGCAGAGTCTTTCAGCTCAGCAAACTGCTGTCATAGAGCTGTCAGGATCACGGGTAAAGAGAGATACACACATCACAGAGATATATTCAGAGGTTCTTCTGCTCACCCAAAGCTCATCTGACTAACAGAGAGCCAGACCTGAAGACCTGCACAGCCGCTGCTGCATTTGTTATGAGCGCCATTAAAGGAACAGTTCACCTAAATAAATCCACAGTGGTTTGGAACGACAAACAATCTTTCATTTTGTGGGTGAACTCCTTAGTTTAGCAACATGAAAAGCTGGAGAGTTGATCAGACGTTCACAAACACACACAAGCAGGAGAATTATGGTTGTGTTTCTTCCAGGTTTTCACAGTAAAGCCCTTTTTATAATCCATCAGGCGTCTCGCGCAGGGCGACTCCAGAGACACTCGCAATCTCTGCCATTGATCGAGGAGGGAATGATTGAGTCGCTAAATGGCAAAATAACAATAATCAAATCATATAAAATTGATATTGTGTAAAACTTCTGTGACAATTTAAAAAGTTATCATCAGCAGACTTCAGATTAATGATATTGCAAGCTGATTACTCGTGAAATTGCTGTAACTGATCAATAAAGTGATTTATTGTTCATATAGTGTCGTGTTATTATTAGTCAAGCAGCACCACTGCCCCCTACAGGCCATTAGGGGTCTGTACTGAGGGGTCATGACCCAAAAGTGGGCCTTAGGCCTGTTTTGAAAGGGTTGTGAGACAAAAAAAATGTATCATACATAGTTAGGACTGCCTAATCGCTTTTATTTTTCATTATTAGTGTTGTTATTTTTTATAATAAATATTTTAATTATTATTTTTATTTCATTTTCATTTCATTTGAATATTAAATTATCATTAATATTGTTAAATATTTAAGTAGGCTATTTGTATTTAATTTTCATTTAATTTGCGTATGAATTTATTATTATTGTTATTTAATATTTTAAGTTTTCTTTTTTATTTAATTTTCATTTTATTTGAATATTAATTTAATTACAAAATGACTTACAATTATTATGACTATTACAATTATTATATTTAATTAATTTGTAATATTTTTTATTTTATTTAATAAGTTTGTATTAATAATATTATTGTTGTTGTTGTTATTAATAATTATCAACATTTCTGGTTCTGTAATGGGTCACAGTTTTTATATTTTACACTTCACTGTCAAATGTAAAATCTGCATCCTGACGCCAAACCATTCCAGAAGCTTGACTATAAACACAGCCATATTCTTCCAAAATAATAAACAAGAACAAAAACATAACCCCATCCAGGCAAAGGGTCACCTCATTAACTTCATGAAATTATGTTCACATTTCCCAGGCCCTGAAGCCTGAGCAGCAGCAGAAAGACTGTCAGTCACTCTGATATCATTCATGTGGACATGAAATTGATCCCTCAGACCACCTGGATTAATTACAGCCTTCAGCACATTTTCAGACTGTCTGTAATTCTTTCTGACATAATGGAAAGTGTTTATGGAAACATGATTTGTCTTTACCCTCAGCACACAGTCAACTGTAATTCACACCTTCCTTCAACACTTTAGGTTACTTTAGACCTGCTGCGAAGAGTCAAGTGTGAACCATCAACTGTCAGGTTTAGTCAGGTTAGTCAGGTTTACCTCCAGCAACAAAAACAAAAAAAGTTTTTTTTTATTTCAAATAAGTGTCTGTTTATTTGTTTATTTATTTAATTGCTTACAAACAGAGAAATAATATTATTATCAATGAACATGCAGCATATGACCAGTAGATAGCAATGCGGCAAAGTATTTAAATGGGTAGAGCGGCAACTACCAAAACGTGAATTTATAAATTGGGCGGGGCGTAGAGGTTGAAACTCGTTTCTGATTGGTCAGATGTGACGTTCATAGACACGTGGTAAAGGAAAGACGACAAAAAGAAACAAAGATTATTTATCAATTTGTTTGTATCACACAATATGACAAGAAACAGAAAAACACAATTTTAATAAGCCATTTAAAGGAAAATTATTGAAGAAAAAAAATGTAAAATATGCTACATGGCTTAAGTGGCAACGTGCACAGGCTGTAGACAATATGTGAACAAATAATAAAGATTTAATACACAAAGACATATTTTTATTCACCATGTTGTTGTGTATTATCACTTTCTTTTTATTTTCCTTATTTAAAAAAAAATGTAACAGAGGAGCACGACAGATAATTCAGTTGCACTTGCAGCTTCTGGCCAGCAGAGGGCAGCAAAACACCATTAATCCCTCGTAACCCGTTAGTACTCCAGCAGCGTTTCAGACAACACAATAAAGCGCTTTTTCTGACGCTTTTACCAAAATTAAGCGCTTTTACCGAGGCGGGGAGAAATAGGACTAGAACAAAGATAGTGGTGATAAGGAGGCACCACCAGGTATCTGGCTGACAGGGCTGAGATCGCATGACGAAGCCGTCCTGCTTCCTGTCGCCGCGTGATGACGTCAGCCGGCTCCGTGCATTGTTTTGACTCGGAATATTTTTCTCTGTAAAATTCCTGAGAAATCGTGCGAAAAACACGTTAAAGACCCAATTTTGCACGTGATTCCACCTTCAGAACAAAAGACAGGTGAGACAATTGATGTCTGTCGGGTTTTGCATGATTCTAATGCATCTGTTAAATTAATCTTCTGTATCAACCTTATATAAAGTACCGTGGCTGTACTATAGTAAAATGGTCATATGGTAATAGTACTAAATGATTACTATGTCGATGTACAATATTGCTTAAAATAATTATTTCCATTAATTTATCACCATGGTACATGTCCCATAAACATGGTATGAATGGTACTGTATTCATGAAACCATGGTAATTTTTGTAAAGTTTAATTTTATTGAAGAAAATTAATGAAACACAACAATGAAAATTATACATATATATATATTTCTATGGGTCTTCAATATATTTATATTGATCAGTTTTTATGTATTTATTTTTTGTATATGTGTGTGTGACGTGTGTGTATTAGTGGTATTAAAATTGATTGTATACATATGTTCTTTTATATACTTATATATATATTTTATATATGTATACTATTTTACATATATACAGGGTGCGATTTGCCGGGGGGGGGGGGGGGATGCGTGGGATTTCCCCCTTTCTGGTCAAAGTATCCCTGCCTCTGCTTAATTATTTTTATCCCCGGTGGGGATAAATTTATCCCCCCCTCAAAGTGATCAGATTTAATTCTTAGGCTACGTGTTTTTCGTTGTGCGTGATCACAGTTCATATATAAGCTATTAGAGTAAAACATATTGTGTTAGGCTACTTCATGAGTTATTAAGAAAAAAGATTTTACAATTCCTGCAAATGCAGTGATGAAGTTCATGTTCTCATGATTTATTTTTATGAATAAAACTTTTTCAAAACATCCCCCCTCTGTTTTTTTCACAAATCGCACCCTGCATATATATATATATATATATGTGTGTGTGTGTGTGAAATACAATTTATTAATGTACAGTATATTTATTATATTTAAAAAAAATATATATATATATATGTTTGAATAATATGTTAGTGAGTATAAGATGGAAAATTAATATATATATATATATATATATATATATATATATATATATATATATATATCATAATTGAAACATAATTAATCAAATTCTGTACATGATATTTTGAGTTTTATTACAGTAGCTCTGAATTATTTTTAAATGCTGAGTCCTGTCATCTTCTCTTTTTACATATCTCCTATATGTGACACTAAAGGTCAGAGGTCATGGAGGAGCAGAGCGGGTCACCGGGGGGCAACACAGACAACAGCAGCCAGCGTAACGGAGAGGAGGTGAGCAGATCATGTGATCGTTGACCCCGGGCGGGCTGTCGTTGCACAGGTCGAGCGGCGTTAACCAGTCATGTGAATCTGTGTTTTTGTCAGAAACCTCGCAGGAGCAGCTGGACCAAAGGCAGGAGGAGGAAGAAGCCACTGAAGGACAGTAACGCCCCCAAAGCCCCGTTAACAGGATACGTGCGCTTCATGAACGAGCGCCGCGAGCAGCTGCGGGCGGAAAGACCAGACGTGCCTTTCCCAGAGATCACCAGGATGCTCGGGAACGAGTGGAGCAAACTGCCCCCGGAAGAGAAACAGGTCAGGACACACATAGTGCAGTAAACCTGAAAGAGGATCTATTGTGCTTTTTTTACATTTTCAACTTTCTTTAGTGTGAAATATTGCTGTTTGAGCATGAAAAAGATCTGAAAAGTTACAAAGTAACTCTAAAAGGAGTTATTCTCTATATCAGTGTCACTGTTTCTGAACTCCCTGAACGCCTCCACTGTAGTCTTGAGTTCTCTCTGGGAACGAATACGTCACAATATTCCTCATTTAAATAATTCCCGCCAAAAAAAGGGACGAGGCTTGAGTTGAGTTAGTAGTGTGTTGAAACTCACAGTTATGGTAAGGGACGGGACATTTCCCAAATACGCTTTAAGTAGTTGACCAATCACAACACACTGGTCCAGCTGACCAATCAGAGCACATTGCGCTTTTCAGAAGGAGGGGCTTCATAGAGACCGGAACCAAACAGAGCGTTACTGACAGGAAGAGAGGTGCTACAAACAATGTCAAATATGTGAAAAATTATGGGTTTTTTTTAACATCCAAGCATAAAAACCTATTCGTGCAAAATCAAGACTGTAAAAGGTCATCTTTAATCAAGATTAAAAGCTTTCCAGAGACATCTAACATCGCTCTCTGTCTCGTTCTGTCTCAGCGGTATCTGGATGAAGCGGACCGAGATAAAGAGCGCTACATGAGAGAACTGGAGCAGTATCAGAAGACCGAAGCCTATAAACACTTCAGCAGGAAAGTGCAAGAGAAACAAAAAGGAAAGAGACACAGGGGAGGTACGAAATCCAAAATGAACTTTTGTCAATCCTGCAATGAAGTGACAGCCACAGCCAATCAGAACACTCTTGATGTTCACTATGAAGCTGTGTGGGGCAGGATTTGGGACCAGTGAGATTTCACAGTGGGTGGTCCTTCCTGGTAAAACAAGAATAGAAACGAAGAGACTGACTAAATGATGTGCATCACAAATCACTTGTCCAAAGTAAAATTCCTCTCTCTTGCTGTCGTTATCAGATGCTGGACGGCAGGCACCTGGTGAATCCCTTCATGAGGTAAAAATATCGGCGACAGGACACACGTGGAATATGCACACATATTTGGAAAACCTGGAATTAACAGGAGATTCATGGAAAACTCTTTAATCGAAATCTATTTTTATTGTTTCATATTATTGTTTTCAAATATTTAATTTGCTGTTTTTATGTAATGATCTTTTTATGGGATCATCCAATAATCATACAAGACTGGAAAAGTAATGGCAATAAAATCCTAAACAGTCATGGGAAAGTCAAGGAAAACTCTTTAGCCGACATCTGTTTTTATAGTCTTTTACTGTTATTCTAAACTATTTCATTTGCCGCCTTTTATACAATATTTTTTATTAAATTATCCGATATTCAGAAAAGACTATAAAAGTAATGGAATTTCTTTATTTATTAAAAAAGAATATAATACTAAATAGTGAAATATAACAAATCAATACAATAAAAATTATACTAAAATATTTAATTTGGCCACAATCTTATAAAGGGATTTGAATGAAATGATCAAGTAGTCGCAAACTACTGGAAAATGACTGGAAAAGCCACAAAAAATTAGAAAATCTTGAACAGTCATCATGGAAAAGACTATTGTCAAGTACTTTTAAATAAAATATTTAAATAGCTATAATTTGATATATATATATATGAATAAATATATATATATATATATACAGTATATATATAATTTGTATCATTTTATAGAGTTTAGCTTATTAACTATTGTATAAAAAACATTAACATTAAAACATTAAAAAAAAAAAAAGAAAAAGAAATATATATATATATATGTATTAGATGTTTTTTTTATACAATAGTTAATAAGCTAAACTTGAAAATAGAAAGGTGTGGAAACCCTTATTTCATAAAATGTGTTAAATATGTTATTGGTAGCTGGAATATGATCGATTTAGTCCAAATGTTTAATGAACAAACGTGCAAAGGATGGAGGATATGTAGATCATTTTGACAGCCACTGTAATTCTATTGGTGTAGATTCTGATCGGGTCTATTTATTACTAATCAATGACCGTCTGAGCACTCAAACATTCTGTCTGTCCCTCAGAAGGATCTGGAGATAAAGGATCGCTCTGTGTTTGATATTCCCATCTTCACTGAAGAGTTTCTCAATCACAGTAAAGGTGAGAGCAGAGTGCTGTTGAATGTGTGAGTATGTCTTTAATGAAAACATGATTCATTGAGCGTGTGTGTGTGTTACAGCGCGCGAGGCTGAAATGCGTCAGCTGAGAAAGACGAACATGGAGTATGAGGAGCGAAACGCAGCGCTGCAGAAGCATGTGGAGAGCATGCGCTCCGCCGTGGAGCGTCTGGAAGGAGACGTGCTGCAGGAACGCACGCGAAACAGCCTCCTTCAGCAACACCTGGACACCCTGCGCTCGGCCCTCACACACAGCTTCTGTACTGTCCCCCTGCCCGGTGAGACACACACACACGACTGAACTGCAAAAACCTCCAGCCAGCTGGGTTCACTTGAGCAGTCTGATTCATTTTAGTTCGTCTTGTTTAAATCAGTTCAATTCATTTCAGCCATGACCATGAAATCCTATAAAATGATAAAATTCAAGAAATATGTAGATAAATATTACCTTTCTATATATATATATATACACTCACCTAAAGGATTATAAGGAACACCTGTTCAATTTCTCATTAATGCAATTATCTAATCAACCAATCACATGGCAGTTGCTTCAATGCATTTAGGGGTGTGGTCCTGGTCAAGACAATCTCCTGAACTCCAAACTGAATGTCAGAATGGGAAAGAAAGGTGATTTAAGCAATTTTGAGCGTGGCATGGTTGTTGGTGCCAGACGGGCCGGTCTGAGTATTTCACAATCTGCTCAGTTACTGGGATTTTCACGCACAACCATTTCTAGGGTTTACAAAGAATGGTGTGAAAAGGGAAAAACATCCAGTATGCGGCAGTCCTGTGGGCGAAAATGCCTTGTTGATGCTAGAGGTCAGAGGAGAATGGGCCGACTGATTCAAGCTGATAGAAGAGCAACTTTGACTGAAATAACCACTCGTTACAACCGAGGTATGCAGCAAAGCATTTGTGAAGCCACAACACGCACAACCTTGAGGCGGATGGGCTACAACAGCAGAAGACCCCACCGGGTACCACTCATCTCCACTACAAATAGGAAAAAGAAGCTACAATTTGCAAGAGCTCACCAAAATTGGACCGTTGAAGACTGGAAAAATGTTGCCTGGTCTGATGAGTCTCGATTTCTGTTGAGACATTCAGATGGTAGAGTCAGAATTTGGCGTAAACAGAATGAGAACATGGATCCATCATGCCTTGTTACCACTGTGCAGGCTGGTGGTGGTGGTGTAATGGTGTGGGGGATGTTTTCTTGGCACACTTTAGGCCCCTTAGTGCCAATTGGGCATCGTTTAAATGCCACGGCCTACCTGAGCATTGTTTCTGACCATGTCCATCCCTTTATGGCCACCATGTACCCGTCCTCTGATGGCTACTTTCAGCAGGATAATGCACCATGTCACAAAGCTCGAATCATTTCAAATTGGTTTCTTGAACATGGCAATGAGTTCACTGTACTAAAATGGCCCCCACAGTCACCAGATCTCAACCCAATAGAGCATCTTTGGGATGTGGTGGAACGGGAGCTTCGTGCCCTGGATGTGCATCCCACAAATCTCCATCAACTGCAAGATGCTATCCTATCAATATGGGCCAACATTTCTAAAGAATGCTTTCAGCACCTTGTTGAATCAATGCCACGTAGAATTAAGGCAGTTCTGAAGGCGAAAGGGGGTCAAACACAGTATTAGTATGGTGTTCCTAATAATCCTTTAGGTGAGTGTATATAAATTCCACTTTATTTCACTTCTAATGAAAATTAAATACAGATATTCTGTTTGTGGTTGTTCCTAATATTAATTAATAAAAAAAGTGTATATATATAATAAATTAGATAACATTAAATACATAATATAAATATGTATATAAATGATTTAAACAGTGTGTGTGTATATATATATTATTTTCTGTGATAGATATCTCTTATGCTCACCAAGGCTGCATTTATTTGATCAAAAAGTAAAAACAGCACAGTAAAAGCTATAATATTGTGAAATATTATTATAATTTAAGTGTTTTCTATTTTAATATATTTTTTATTTATTTGTGTAATTTATTCCTGTGATCAAAGCTGAATTTTCAGCATCATTAATCCTTCAGAAATCATTATAATGTGTGGATTTGCTGCTCATGAAACATATATATTTTTTATGAATAGAAAGCTATAAAAACATCATTTCTTTGAAAAAGAAATCTTTTCACTGTCACTAACTGAATATATTTCAATAAAACATTTTCTTATAAAAAAATTATTAATTTTATTATTAGAAAATTATAATAATTTATTTTTAAATTATTAAAAACAAATATTTTATAAAATAAAAATTATTATCAAAATATTGCCAACATATTACTTTCTTTGTTTTATTCCCAAAGCTATTTGAGTGAAGGCTGTTTCAACTGTGAATCCGATCTTACCATTATGTGAAAGATAATCTTTTCCTGACTGACTTTCCCATGTTCCTGCAGGCAGCGGAGAGACGCCCACACTCAATTCCATCGACTCCTACATGAAGAAGCTTCACAGCATCATCCTGTCCAGCCCACAGGAGCACCAGCACCTGATCGGCACCGTCAGGGACGTGGTCAACCGCCTGGACAGGTAGCCGCACACCCCAGTGTTCTTGCTTTGTATGTGAACATGATCCACGTGTGCGATGATGCACTGCTCTGATCCACCTGCAGGTAATTGTGAGGCCCCGCCCCCTCTCGTGCAGTAGCCCCTCCTCCTATCCTGCGATGACCACGTTTTTTGTGTCGAGCAATTAATCAGTTGCTTCCTATTTATTTTTTTACAATGCTGTTTTTATCTGCTCATTTTTATTTTTTTATTTTAGCACTTCACGTTTGCCATGCATTTATGCGCGTTATTAAAATGTAAAAACGTTATTTTAGAAGGGTTGTGGTTTCATCTGCATGTATACATGTTATTTTGATTTTAAGCTGAATTTTATACTTGTAATTTCTTTCATATTATGTGAGAAAGTGCGATGTTGTGTTCGTGTGAATAGAGGCAGGTTCATCTGTAGCTGGAGTTACTGAATTCCCTCTATGGTCTTGACATTTGAAGAATTCAATAAAGCAAATGTGTGAAGACATTGATGAGTGTCTGATTCTCTCTCTCTCTCTCCTCCAGCTCATTTGCTAGATGGTTGCTAGTAATTAATTAGATTTAGTTCCTTCTGGGATGAAGCGCTAGAGACAGCAGTGTTATAGTTCTCAGGACAGACGGTTTGCTGAAGGCTGCTACTGAACAGCTGTAACCCAGTTGGGCTTATAAGCAGGTGTGAATTAATCAAAGGTTTTTATATTAAAAAACACAATATCTGGGGTGAAAAACGGAGAGGGCTGCAAAAAAAAGAGAAAATCTTTGAAAAAGGTCAGGTGACACTTTAATTTAGGGTGATGTAGTTACACGTTACTACATGTATTTCTAGTAATAACAGTAAATTATGCATAATTACAAGTAACTAACCCTAAACCAAACCCTACCTCAAGTTAATTAATATTATTCCGTACTTATTTAAGTAACTACGTCACAAAATAAAGTGTAACCAAAAGGCAAATTCAATTTTGGGCAGTTTTAAATCGGGCTTTACAGTTACTATTTGGACTATTGATTTGATAAATGAATTAAATGACATTCCCACATTTGTAGGAGTGGGTTAGTGTTTGTAATATGAAACATCACCCACTATAGGGCAGGAGACCGCTGAAAGATTTTAAAGTACCGTTTCCATGGTAACGCAATGTCTGATTTCAAAATGATTTTGACAGGATGCATTTTGAGTTTTTAAGCTTTCGAATGATTCCTAATTTATGATTACTAAAATATGTGATAGGAAAAAAAGGAATAAAGAAAAAGCATCCCCCTACCTTTTTTGTATTTTATTTGATTTCAGTTAACGTTTATTTTGTTTCAAGTAAAGAAGTTTTATGGTTTTAGTTTCAGTTTTAGTTAACTATAATAACTCCTATTTATAGGTGTGAATTTAGTGTCCACATAATATTTGAGCCCTTGTAATCGAGAAGAGATGTGCTGCAGCTGCACAGGACTCTGGGACATGTAATTTCCTTTCTGTTGTCATGTCCATTTCCTGTCAGACAGCAGGACTTCCTGTCATCCGTCAGGAATGGAGTATATGGCATCCATGGGTTCAGATGACCTAACTTCCTTTTAAACCTTATGTCCTTCAAAAAGGGCGGTAACATTTTTTTAAGGGATAGAAAAAATGAAAATTCTGTCAATTTACTCAACCTGGTGTTGTTCAAAACTCATACTTTATGTAGACCGCAAATGACATTTTGAAGATATTTTGCTTGTCCGATTGTGAACGGCTAATTCTTTTGAATTGGATCGCGTCAGTGAATCAATTATTCACAAAACCAGATTGAATGATTCATGTGTGAATCAAACTTATCGGTTCTCAAGTTCAGCTCAGTAATTATCACTGCAAAAATGAAGTAAATTTTTAACAATGCTGTGACTTCGGAACATCAAAATATAGCTGTAAGGACAAATTGTATATTTTATGGTGGTGCTAATAGGCTTTATGCACAGCTGCACTACATCCTGAACTTCAGCCAGCTCCTTTGTTTCCTGTCTGCCATTATTGGACAAACTGATTAATCTAGGTGTGCCTGGCCTCAGTAACAAAAATCAGGCACACCTGGATTAATCAGTTTGTCCAATAATGGCAGACAGGAAACAAAGGAGCTGGCTGAAGTTCAGGAAGTAGTGCAGCTGTGCATAAAGCTGTCATTTTCTTTTCCACAGAAGAAAGACAGTAATCTAAGTTTGGAACAACATGACAAATGATGACAGAATTGCCATTTTTGGGTGAACTTTTCTTTTAAACTCTCATCTTTACAAAGCATGGAATTGTTCATCTTTCCCTCTCTTTTGCCCAAAGCGAAGATCCAGCTGAATGCAAGAACTCATAATCATATCATAAAATGAGACTCCCTTTGCCCTAGAGATGTTTTTCATTTCCTCAATTGGGGTAAACAACATATTGAAGAGGAGAGGAGAAGAGAAGCGAAGAGAAGAGAAGAGGAGAGGAGAGGAGAGGAGAGGAGAGGAGAGGAGAAGAGAAGAGAAGAGAAGAGAAGAGAAGAGAAGAGAAGAGAAGAGAAGAGAAGAGGAGAGGAGAGGAGAGGAGAGGAGAGGAGAGGAGAGGAGAGGAGAGGAGAGGAGAGGAGAAGAGAAGAGAAGAGAAGAGAAGAGAAGAGAAGAGAAGAGAAGAGAAGAGAAGAGAAGAGAAGAGAAGAGAAGAGAAGAGAAGAGAAGAGAAGAGAAGAGGAGAGGAGAGGAGAGGAGAGGAGAGGAGAGGAGAGGAGAGGAGAGGAGAGGAGAGGAGAGAGCCATCAGGGTTAGGATGTGGCTTGTGTGAGTCATGAGATGTAGAGCTCATTTCCTGTCTCTTATACTGAATATCCACCCTGAACCCACAGACAATAGAGTCACACAAACCAATAACCCACACACAATGAGCTCAGCAACACTTTCTCTGAATCAGCTTTGTCCTGTCATGAGGGAATATGATTTTCCGGCATGTCCATGGCTGATGATGGTCTACTTCTGTCATTCTCATTCTTCAATACTCTGCCCTAAATGTGGTTGCTGTATCATAGAGGAAAAAGATATTTCATGAAGAGCTGTGGTCAGATATGAATTAGATTAATATTATAGTGATGGTTTATGCATGAGTTTCAGCTGACGCAAAAGGAAAAAAGAAATAGCTATCGGCTTTTAGGAATAATTCATGCCTTTCTTTCAGGACACAAAGTAGAACGTTAAGCAGAATGTTCACACTCCTCTTTTTTTACAACAATGAAAGCATATAGCAACCAGATGTCAAGCTCCATAATGGTCGAATAAGCACCATTAAAAAATAAAAGCCTGGAAAGTTTCATTTTTCACTTTTGTTTGGTTTTGAATAGCAGCATTAATTCTCAACAGAAATGCAATGAGATTACTGAGGTTAAAAAAACAAAGATACTTTGAATGCTTCCATTGGGTTTCCAAATGTAAATGTGTTTTCTGATGTTATCCATAGACATTTCATTAATACACTTTTCAAAAGACTGCAACTTTCAAATTAAGGCTGATAGCAGATTTTAAAAAATCTGAAAACTATTTAGATTCGGGTCCTCAGAAATACGAACGTCTTACAGGTTTGGAACAACATGAGGGTGAGTTAATGATGACGGATTAATCTTTTGGGTGAACTATCCCTTTAAGAGAAAGATTATATGTATGACAGCATGTGATTTTACAGTCATGTTGTACTGTTCTTTGTCTTAAAGTATTTCATTTAATGTGTTTTACCCTGTTTTACTATTTGTAGTAGGCCTATCTGTGATGATGTATTTTTGTTGGCCAAAACAAGTTAGCATTTTAGCATTTTTCTTAATTAGGTTTTTGGTTAAAAATTCCCAAAATAAGGTCTGAGGTTAACATAAACTCATATTTTCATGTTTTATTCTACAACGTAAAATACACCAGGTTTTTTTAAAAAGCTTTTGGGTCTTGAAAAAGGGGGTTGTAAACAAGTCGCTAAATGGGACTACAGATGTTGTCTGGGACATTAAATGTGATGAATAAGTAAACTAATCTACTCACAAGTCTGCTTTTACAGCCTCATTGTGTTTATAATCACACTCTTGAAAACTATTATAGCAAAACTTTCAGGCAAAAAGTTTCTTACCCCAAAATGTTTTTGAAATCAAGACCATGGTGTAGGCTGCTAGTTTATTTATAGCCTGCATTTGGCTTTTTACTTCTGGCAATAGTATCTGCTTCAAAATTCATAAAAGTTATTGTTCATTTGTGCAGATTATCTTGATAAACACAACACGTACGAATTTTCTCAGAGCTTATTTGCATAACCTAAAAGGAAATGTATAAAAAGAAATGAAAAATGTACCATATATGTTGGCAATAGGCTACTGTAAAAATTAAAAGTGTGGCCCTTGAGCTTTCCAAAGTTGAGTAGAAAGGTATAAAATGTCACTTGTGGGCGGGGTTATGAGTTTGTGCGCAAACGTTTCGCGGCAAAATTAACTTTATGGCCCCGCCACAGATATGAACTGGGACTGTCACTGTATCAACAAATTAAATGTTTTACTTTAGCATTTCTTAGACAATCGCACATTTGCACGCATTCTGTATTATACGTGATAATATAGTTTCTAAGGAAAGGATTTCAAAAATAATGCCACAAGTGTCCTTATAATGAGATTTCCACAATTTTTTTTTTGTCTCAAAACATAATACAGTTTCACATTTTAGTCACTATTATTATTAATGTTCTTCAAAATATCAAATGAAAACCACAGCAAAACTGTCTGGGAGCAAAGCGCGTTTCCGACATTCCAACACGAAGTGCGCGTCCACAGCGCCCTGCCCTCTGCGCGTCCCCGTGCTCGAGCCGTTACCGGAGCGGCGGAACACGGACGCGTGATCACACATTTCTCCCGAGCAAAATATCCATCAGAGCCCACGTTCAGTTTGACGACAGTTCCGCGATATTTGGACTAGGATGGCGCACACGGGTTCGTGAGGAGAGCGTTGTCGTTCGCTGAAGGTAAGAGCAGAAAGTTCGTACGGAGTTTCACAGAAAGATCCACGCGGCGCGTCAGCTCGAGCGAATGGCGCATATTTAGACGTGTGACGCGCAGCTGTGATTTTTCAAGCAGTTTATTGTCAGTTTAACGAGTTGAACATTTCAGAAGGACCATGAAAATGTTTGTGTTGTGGTGGTTAAACGGTTAACCTGAGTCATTACGCGTGTTATGTCTGGTTGTGGTGTGTAACAGCTTCAGGAGTAACGTTATTTTCTGTGTGCAAAGGATAAAGTGTCATTTCTGCTAAATCATTTCTGTGAGGAGATAAAATGTCATTTTCTCTGGAAAGTCCATGAGGGAAAACCTGATGGGATCTGACGCCGGTTCTGGAGAGTTCCTCAATGTTTCTGTCAGGATGCTGTTTTGTGTATGTGTGTGTGTGTGTGTGTGTGTGTGATGTGATACGTTTTAATATCAGCGTTCACTTTAGTAACTATAAAGAAATTATGTTTAAGAAATGTGTGTTTCATATA